TCAAACCAGAAGCTAGTCTTGATGCCATTTCCGACTTTGCTTCGTAAGAACCTCTCAGCCAAAGGCCTTAGTCTTAATAAAGAATTCCAGATCCATGAGTTTCTGGTTGACTCTTTCAAGGACCAGAAGCTAGAGGAGTTCAAATGGTGATGCCTGTGCCAAGCTGCCCACAAAGAAGGTTTATCAGAGAAGAGGGACCAAACATACCTTAGGCACAAGGCTTTATTCCAGACCGCATATCTCCTAAGTCCCAACCCACCTTCATCTTTTGGCAGACAAACCGAAGCCCAGGAGACCTTTACACCATTGCTCATATCAATGTTTCCCTTCCACAAGAACCGACTACAAAGCGATTCAATTTTCTTGATACAACCTTGAGGAAGGATAAAGGTGGAGATCCAAAAGTTAACAACTCCTGAGATGACAGACCCTAACAGCTGTAGCCTTCCTGCAAAAGAGAGAGTTTTCACTGCCCAATTTCTGAACTTCTTGATGAGGTTGTCGATTAGAGGCTCATATTCAGAGATTCTCAGCTTTCGGTGCATTAAAGGCAGGCCAAGATATCGTATAGGCAGAGACCCGATTGGGAAGCCAAACTGAGCGATTGCAGTAGTTTCCAAGTGATTTTGGCCAGCACAGAAAAGTTGCGTCTTGCCTCTATTCATACATAAACCAGACCAACTCGCAAAATCGTCCAGAGCTTCATTGATTCCATGAAGGGAGGAGCTTCCACCATCGAAAAAGATCATTACATCGTCCGCAAACATAAGATGAGAGATTTGTAGATCAAAAGTTTGCGGGTGATAGTGAATGTATCCAGCATCAAATCTTGCTTTAAGAAGACTGGAGAAGACCTCCATAGCAAGAACAAATAAGTATGGAGAGAGCGGGTCTCCCTGCCGCAGGCCCGTTGTGCTCTTGAAGAATCCACCTGACTCACCATTTACACAAATCGAAAAGAAGGGAGTGGTGATACACTGGCAAATCCAGTTTACGAACTTCTCAGGAATGTTGAGAGCTCTTAGCGCCGAGAGAATGAAGTCCCACCTTACCGAATCAAAAGCTTTCCGTAGATCAACCTTTAACATTGCTCTCGGGTCTATATTCTTTCGGTTGTACCCATGAACAATCTCAGTAGCAAGTAACACATTTTCACCAAGCAACCTTCCAGGCATAAAAGCAGATTGGGAGGAAGAGATTACCTTACTGAGGATCTGCTGCAGTCTCTTTGCAAGCAACTTGGAAATAACCTTATACAGCGTGTTTAAACAGGATATTGGTCTGAAATCAGCTGCTTTAGAGGCATTGGATAGCTTGGGAATAAGAACCAGAGTTGTCGCATTCCATTGCTTAAGCATAGAACCTGAAGTGAAAAACTCAGAAACCGCCTCAATAACTTCTGGACCAATCACACTCCAGCAACCAGTAAAAAATTCTGCAGAGAAGCCGTCTGGACCTGAAGATTTGTTTCGAGGCAGAGAAAAGAAAGCCTCCCTGATTTCCTCGCTTGAGAATGGCATTTCCAAATTTTCCTTTTGACCACGATTACAGCGGAAAGGAAGGAGAATGTCCATGTCCCCTTGAGTAAGCATACTAGGACCCACCTCACTACCGATAAGATTGTGGAAGAAGTCAACACAATGATCTCTAATACCTTGCTGGGAGTCAATCATTGGACCACCATCCTCTTGGATAAAATGAATATGGTTAAGAGTTTTTCTAGAAGCCACCATTCTGTGGAAGTAAGAGGTATTACTGTCTCCATCCTTAAGCCACGAAATGCTTGATCTCTGACAGAAAAACGATTCTTCAGCTTTGGCAAGGATTTGCCATTTCCTCTGGGCTTCAATCTCAGCTTCAGCATTTGCCACGGTTGGCCTGTTTAACACTCTTTGCTGCATTCTTAACAAGTGATCGTGAGCCTCCACAACTCTCTTTTCAATTTCTGAAAAGTTTACCTTGCTAAACTCTCTAATAGTTTTCTTTAAGAGTTTCAGCTTTATAGAGCACCTATACATAGCAGACCCCACCACGTTACAGGAGAACCAATGCTGGCAGACCATAGGAACAAACTGCTCATTAAGCAGAAGGAAATTGTAGAATTTAAACGGCCGCTTTACCCTATTTATTTCCAGATCAAACACTACACCACATGAAGCATGGTCGGAGAAGTCCGGCTCGCCAAACAACGCATAGCTTGCAGGATACTTCAAGCTCCAAAGCTCATTTACCAAGACTCTATCCAGCTTTTTCGCGATTGGTCTAGTCTTAGATTTGTTCCACCAAGTGTAAGTGCTACCTTTATACGTCAAGTCAGAGAGATCCGCATTAAGTAAGCAGGTCCTGAAACTTCTTGTTCTTCTATCCACGCTTAGAGTTCTAGGACAAGAATGTTCAGAGGGGTGGAGCGTTTGGTTGAAATCCCCCATCACCAGCCATGGCTTACCCTGTAACTTGGCCGTGCTTGCAACATCTACAATCTCCTTCCACAAATCAAGCCTCAACCTATCATCATTTGAGGCATAGACCACTGAAATTACACACCAATCCTGCGAATTTGGCAGCAAAACCTCGCAGGTAATCATCTGAAGAGATTTGTCGATCACTACTACCTTCACACTTTGATGCCACACCACCCATATCTTTCCCAAATCAGAAAACCCATAATTATTTTCAAAAGACCAGCCGGGTAGTAAACCGTTGACGAACTTCTGCACCTTCGGCTGTTTAACATGCGTTTTAATCAAACCACCAAAAATGAGCTTGCAGCCCTTAGACCATTTCTTAAATCCGCTGCGGTGGCTAAGAATATTTAGGCCGCGGATATTCCAACAAAAAATTTGTGTACACATAGTTATGTGTTTTTGAGGCCCTTGCCTCTGTTAAGTTTCCGTTGTCGCTTAGACAACACTTCTTCAAAACCAGAATAGTCATCCTCTAGACTGGCAGTTTCCTCTAGACTATCAGTCTCTTCCGATTCTGTTGACAAAATATCAGATGAGTCTTCTTCAGCTACCGAAGATTTACCCTCTGATGGAGATTGATCTGAACCATGTGTGTGTAACGCCTTACCTGAGCCAGATCCTATCTCAAGAACAGCTTGATCACCCTCTTTTGCTATTACCTGCAATCGAGAAGCAGGCTGCACAGACTTAGGTACATAGACCATTTGCTGTTGTACCTCTTTGCCTGGCCTCTTCACAACAGCTTGATCCTTAAAGATGGGCTTGGCCTGGTACCGCTTTCTCGGAGGAGCATTCCCTTTTCTAGGACAGCAGCTCTCAAGGTGAGCAGAAGAGTTACAAGGTTTGCACGTTACTGGTGCCAATTTGCAGCGTTTGCGGCTGTGTCCAACCTCCTTGCAATGCTCACACACTGGGGGCATCCATGGGCTGGAGACTAAAATTCTTCTAATCTCCCCTGAAGCAAACTGAACATTTACAACCTCTGGAAGAGGCTTCCTCGGGTCAATGATAGTGAAGACCTTAGCCACCTCTAGGTTGGTCTTGTTCGCAGTTGCCGGATGCAAACATTTGGGATCTCCGACCAAACTAGCGATACTCTCGAGACCCTCGTCGTTGAAGAATTGGAGAGGAACATGTCTTAACTCAAGCCAGATAGGCGCCGATGTGAGCTGGGGCTTCATAGGGACCACACCGGGCTCCCAATTTGCGACGAACATTGTTTGACCCTCAATTTGCCAAAGCATTTGATTAATAACTCTTGCCCTCGTAGCAGCATTCGGAATTCTAAAAATAAATGCATTACCTTCCATCTTGGAGACAGAGATATCTCTATAGCTCTTACTCCAAATCCCATTTACGATATTATGGATGGTTCCTTGGGCTGGAGGATCGGAGTAAAATTGACCAAGAACAAAGCATTCCCATGACTTCCTGTTTTTCTCAATCACAGAATTAGGTATCTTCACACACGATTCTCCCGACGGGAGAGTGAAACCTGAGCTCTGTTTTTTGAGTTGTTTTGCAGTACCCTTGACGAGGCTCACCCACAAATCTTGCTTTACAGGGTTTGGCGCATCAGGAATGTGCTTGGAGGCTTCTGGCTTCGCAGAGTCCTTGACAATCGGAGGCAGAGGAGTTGTAACCTCGGCAACAGCCGGCTCTTCTGACAATGTCGACGGCCCTGAAGGAGCTAAACCATTAGCAGTATCAGAGGCGCCATTTGCTGTTAGGTCTGATGTACCCGATGAGGTTTTCAGATCTGGGATTTGATTGGCCAAGTCCGTCACTGAGACAGTCAATTGGGCAATAGATTGCGTGGGAGCTGAAGAAACCGGCGACGCGGGGGCTTCAGAACACACAGCGCCGGCGGAGACGATCGATGGAGGCGGAGAAAGCGGGTGACCCGAGACAGAAGCACCGGATCTCCTCAATGGAGAGGGTTTCTTAGATTTCGTTTTCTTCCTCATAAGGAGAGGAGGACCTAAAAGAAGAGGGGGACGAGGCGCCTCACGCCGTGAGAGGCGGCGGCGCAAGAGGGAAAACGACGACACCTTATCGCCGTTTGTGGAGAGAGAGAAAAGGGTTTTAATGTTAGTTCATTCCAAACGACTTTGATGGTCCCACATTCTAATGTTTTACATTTGTTTTTCATTAACTATATGTTGGTCAGCAGAGACGATATGGATGCAGAGCAATGATATGCTAGAGACAGTAGCCGCAGTACCAGGAATGGTCGGAGGAATGCTTCTCCACCTAAAATCAATCCGGAAATTCGAACATAGTGGCAGTTGGATCAAAGCATTACTAGAAGAAGCAGAGAACGAGAGGATGCATCTAATGACGATGATGGAGTTAGTCAAACCCAAATGGTACGAGCGTCTTCTAGTGATGCTTGTTCAAGGAATATTCAACTCTTTTCTCGTTTGTTACGTGATGTCGCCGCGGTTAGCTCATCGGGTCGTTGGATATTTAGAAGAAGAAGCTATACATTCTTACACCGAGTTTCTTAAAGATATCGACGATGGGAAGATCGAGAATGTTGCCGCGCCCGCGATTGCTATTGATTATTGGAGATTGCCTAAAGATGCTACGTTGAAAGATGTCGTCACAGTGATTCGTGCTGATGAAGCTCATCATCGAGATGTCAACCATTTTGCTTCTGTAAGTCTAAAACACAACCCTTTTTCATACAACTTTGAAATTTTTACAAAACTCCCGAGTTTCATATTAAAAACAGATGATATAAGTAGTATAATCAACCACATTTGGTGTGTGGATACATACAAGTTCATAGTTTTTATTATAATCAATGAATTTAAAAAATCTGTGGATTTGTTATCTTGTGTCGTGTTTGTGAATTGTTAATATTGTGAATTATATTTGCAGGACATTCGCAATCAAGGAAAAGAGTTGCGAGAAGCAGGAGCTCCGATTGGTTATCACTAACCAATTTCAAAGAGTCTTCTATCTACTTGGAGTTTTCTTATGATTTTGGATATGAATTTGTTTGAATGTACTAAAACAAGTTTTAATGGTGTTAGAGATAGGAGTACCGGTGTATCTATATATACATTTTTGGATCACAATTAGCAAATAAATCCTGAAGTTGAGAAGTATTTATAATGACATGCCATTAGCATTAATTATTTAGATTTATTTTATTTAAGTAAAGATTTTGAAATCAAATATGTTCTCAACAATTTACCAAAAATCTCTACTCAATCTTTTTAAAAATCTCGACTTAGTTAACTTCTGATTTTTATCTGCAAAAAAAATAAAATAATTGTAACGAGTGATGTAAAAATCGGGAATGTTGATACTACAATTTCTTCTACTTTTTTTTTTTTATATAATGAAAATTATTTTTTAGGGATATTTTCTTAAAACTCTAAACAAAACAAAGGGTTTCAAAAGATAGCTTCTCTTTTGGCGGGTCGATCCGCAAACCCGCAACTCTCTACGGGCTTATCCGCATGAACCTGCGACCCGTAGTGGATAAAAATATTATTAAAAAAAATAACAAATGATGTTTAATTTTACGGGACGGGGTTATATGGTGCAACGGGTTTAGATCAATATTAATATTAAACAATATACTATGGATGAAATCCTAGAATTAAAAATCAAAATTTAATTATAAAATCAGAAACACTAAACAAAATAAACAATATTAACAAAACAAATACAACTTAAAATTTTGCAAAATAATTTTTTAGTTATAAAAAAATCGACCCGCGGTGTACCGCGGGGTAAAATCTAGATTTGGAAGTTTAAGGAAGGAAATTTTTTTTTAAAAAATAATGGCTCCGCGGTGTACCGCGGGTTCAAATCTAGTGTAAATGTTAGAATTGCTTAGGTAAAATGTTTCAGCTTATAAAAAATTGTGTCTCAACCGTCCCAATCGCTTAATTACACTAGTCGCTGCTGAACCGGTACAAACCAAAGTCGGTACTATCTGGTTCGATTTTTTATTTTTTCGTAAAAGGGTATAAATGTAATTAACAACAACGTCGTATAGGGGCAGATAAAAAAACTCCCCGTATTTAGTAGATTCCATTGTTTCATAGACCTAATTTCACTTGCTCTGCTCTCTCTCCCAGTCTCTCCGCCGGCGGGAAAACTATGTCGCACTTCGGAAGGTCAGGTCCACCGGATATCAGCGACACCTACTCGCTTCTCGTCCTTAACATAACCTTCCGTAAACTCTCAATCCCTTTTCTAAACCTCGTTTCAATATTTGTGAACTGGGTTTCTAAGAGATTAGGGTTTGTTCTTATGTGTAGGTACGACTGCTGATGATCTCTATCCTCTATTCGCAAAGTATGGAAAGGTCGTTGATGTCTTTATTCCCAGAGATCGAAGGTCCAATTTCTTCTTCTTCTTCTCCGACTGAGAAATTAGGGTTTCTTAATTTCTGTTATTGATTCTTGTGTCGATTTTTAGGACTGGTGATTCGCGTGGTTTTGCGTTTGTTCGGTATAAGTATAAAGATGAAGCTCACAAAGCAGTGGAAAGGCTTGATGGTAAGATTCATCCACTATTATTGGTTTTGTTATATGTGTTTATGCTTTTGGTGCTTGGATTTGACATGAAGTTTCTGTCTCTGTTTCAGGAAGAGTTGTCGATGGCCGAGAAATAACTGTTCAGTTTGCGAAATATGGGCCAAATGCTGAAAAGATGTATGCTTCTTTCTTTGCCAATGATTGTTCAATTTTGTTGCCATTGGTTTTGAGCTTCCAAACTCATGGCCTACTTGTATAAATAATGATCTTATTTGATATTCGGGAGCTCACTATGAATGTTTCCTCTTTAGATCATTTCCGTTTTTTGTGCTATTGGAACTTCTATCCAGTAAAAAGCTGCATCTGTAATTGTATTTGATTAGTTTGTAATTTTCATGTCAGTTCCAAAGGAAGGGTTGTGGAACCACCACCAAAGTCACGAAGATCGAGAAGCCGTAGTCCTAGGAGGAGTCGTAGTCCTCGGAGGAGCCGTAGCCCGCCTAGACGCCGTAGTCCGAGAAGAAGCCGTAGTCCTCGTAGGAGGTGTGTTTCTTTTTTAATCTGAATTTTTATCATGATTAGGTGAACCGGTGGGAGATAATGGTTATGCTATCACTCAACTAGCTTTTGTTACTTGAATCATCAAAGAAACTCCATCTCAGCCCAAGAACAGTATTTGTCTGAATAATTCTCTCATCGAGCTACATAACTTGTAGGTCCCGAGATGATTACAGGGAAAAAGACTACCGGAAGAGGAGCAGGAGCAGAAGCTATGAGAGGCGTGAAAGGCATCAGGAGAAGGATAGAGATCATCGTCGTCGAACTAGGTCTCGTAGTGCCAGCCCAGATGACAAACGCAGAGTCAGAGGCCGTTATGATGATGAGAGCCGCAGTCACAGTCGCTCCTTGAGGTTTCTTCCATTGTGAACCTCTTTTTTCATGTTGTTTCTCCACAATACTATGTAAAAATATCCTGATTTCAACTTTTTGACATGCAGTGCATCTCCTGCTCGCCACGGCCTCAGCCCTAGAAGTTCCTCCCCACAAAAAACCTCTCCTCCTAGAGAAGTTTCTCCTGATAAGCGTAGCAATGAGAGGTCTCCATCTCCTCGTCGCAGCCTCAGCCCAAGAAGCCCATCTTTGCAAAAGGCCTCTCCATCTAAGGAGGTGTCTCCTGAAAGGCGTAGCAATGAGAGGTCCCCGTCTCCTGGTAGCCCTTCTCCCCTGGGCAAAGTTGATGCTGCTTCTCGAAGTCAATCTCCTTATGCTGCGGTGGGTTACAAAAAAACACAGTGCTTCAGATGTGTATCACGAATGAAACTTGATGTCTGAATTGTGCTTGTTTACATTTTGTTTGCAGGAATGACTGCAGCCACTTGTGAAGGAGACATGGTGTATGAAAAACACGTTTGCTTGTACTGATGATGTTTCATCATCAAGCACTGGAACGTCTACCCTCTGTAGTATTACTTGCTTTTCCGTAGGTGCCCCCAAACTACTGACTGTATCTTTGTTTCCTGTTATCTTTCGGGTTTAGTGTTTATGTGCAAGGATTATTACTGTCTGAACAGCCGTTTTAGACTATGGTTTGTTTGAATCTTCTTTGGTTTGGAATTCATAGCATTCTAACTCCATTCCCATGGCTTGTCTTGGATTTTTCTAGTCTGGTTCGAGAAAAGAATTGACTTGGAAGATGGCACAACCATGTTGAGATTGTAGCTGTTGATGCTGTTTATGAAACTGTAGATGATCGATGCTGTTTATGAAACCGTAGATGTTCGATGCTGGTCACAGTAATCTGCTTAAACTCCCCTTCCGTACATAGTAGCATCTTTGTGTCTCTAACTTGTTGCCCAATGCTTACTTAGAAGGGCCTGGCTCGTTTAGTTTTCAATCTAAGTTCAGTTGAGTTTCACTTATCTCTGTCTCTCTTCAGTTTTAAGATACTTATCAAAAGTACATAGTACAAAGATGAGATCACAAAGAACTAACTTACAATTGAATTTGTCTTTACCAAGGTAAAGTTTAAATCACAAAGAAGTAATAACATGTTCTTGGTTTAGGTTAAGCAATGGTGAGATTAAGAAGCTGTGTAAACTCCAATCTCCGAGTCTCATGGTAAAAAGTCTTATACTTATTTGGCCAATAAGTCAACCAAATAAACCCTTTAATCTCCCACTCCATTGTTCTCCCCAATGCTCCTTTCCCAATCTTCCACACCACACTCTCTCCATACTCATCCCCTGCAAATATCACTCCTCCTCTCCTCGTAAATGACCGATACGCCCTTGCATACCGATCCTTAAACCAAGACCTTGGGCTCATTATCGAAAACCGTGAGGGCTTTGTCGAAAAAACCTCTCTTCCTCCAACGCTGCTATCGTACAAGATCCAGTTTAGATTAGCTGTGTAGCCGAGCACAGATTGCTCGAATTTCCATGGGGTCATTGTCATGGTCGAGGCTTCTCGTCCAGCGACTCTTAAGCCTAGTGAGTTTGGTGGATCGAATGAGCCTTCGATAGATCTCTCGACTTCAAACTCTCGTCCTGGATTGTTTGATGATTTGCTAACCGAAACGCTTATGAAATCGGTTTGGAGAGTTGGAGTTAGTTGCAGAGAGATCCTTGATGGGAAATGCTTTTCGTGCTCTCCTGCTCCTCTTCTCGACATCAGTTTCTCGTTTACAAGCTTTATTACATCGTATCTGCATTCATTAGTTATCAAATGATTATTGATCGTTTAGCTGCCCAAAATACCCTCGTTTCATTACAAAATGTCTAAAACCTTGGTTCATATATATATATAAACTTAGCATAGAGGAAAAAATTATCTAGTAAAAGATATCCTTCAATAAGACAAACTCTCGTTTTCTTACAAAATGTCTAAGCCCTTAGTTTCGCTTATTAATTTAAAGTTTGTTTTTTTGTACTTTTTAGGGAGTTTTACGAAACATTTTAAACCATGAGCTTTTTTACTAAAAATATCCCGTGGGTAATGCCAATTTTTTACAAATAACGGTTTTGAAGAGTTTATAAGAACATAGAAATTTTTGCTTTTTAGGCCATTTTATCAAAACCAGAGTCTTTGTACATATGTGTACCTGATGTTGTCTATCTTCACGATCACATCGATCCACTTGTCTCTAACTACAACTTTGTGATTGAATTGCATAACACCTTCAAGCTGATTAAACTTGAGAGAGAACAACAATCTCGAATCAGCCGTTGGGTTGCTCGATCTCTCTATTTCCATGGCTTCAACCGGACAATACAATTGCACTTTCCACAATCCATAAGCCGAAACAGCGTAAGAGAACAAAGGAGTTGTTGTCTTGGTGGACTCACAACGACGCTTCTCAATGATCCAATTTGTCAACGCTAGATTCACCGTTCTCATCCACTGCTCTTCCAAATTAGACCCTAGAAGCTTCATCAGAGATACGGTCGCTTGCCGTGCATGACAAGTAACCAAATGGTTCTTGAGCGTATTGAGGCAGTTTTCACGGAGATACAAAGGAGCTTCGTAGACGCAAACGACGAACAAGAGAGTGAGAATCACGG